TTTTTTTTTTTTGGAGAGGTTTTTGCTATAGGGTGTGTGCACTTGCCAGAAAGACAGAGAGAGACAGAAAGCGAGAAACCACCCCCCAGGGGGGATGGCCACGCTGCAATCCCTTCTCCTCCATTCTCCTCTGGGATCTTGGGCACGCACGTACATGCACCCGGCGTGAGTTTAAGTCACTGGGTCCGGGACTCGAACCGCAGTTGAGTACAGGGAGTCCAGCGACACAGCCATTGTGCTAACTGCTGGTCCCCAGGGCCCTTTCTAACCTTCAGTTGTAGAGACATCTGGCTTCTCTGGGAGGCCGCAGCCCCTGCAGGGTACCCTGTGGAAGCTGCGTGTGTTTCCCCCCAGGCAGTTATTGGGCTGGCCGTAGAGGGGCCAGGTCACTTTGGGAAGGGCCGGAGATACCGTCTGTGTTATTGCTGTGTCATCTGACAGCCGGCAGCTCTAGCTTCATTTTTAAAAAGTTAAGCGATTTGATTGAGATTTTGAGATTTAACAAGTTGAAAATGGAAGGTTAAACTGGGCGTTTTCGCCACTTTACTGTCCTACTTCCGTAAGGGACACGCGCACATCGAGCTCATGGAAAGGTACAGCGGCCCGGGCGGCGACAGCGCTCCGCAGGCGAGGCCCTGCCCACGGTGCCCGGAGCTGCACGCTGGGCTTTTGATCTCGACCTTCCTCAGTCTGGAAGGCCGACCAAGGTCAATGGTGACAAAACAGAGGCCCTGATGGGGTCCGGCCCACATTACACGACCCGGGAGATTGCAGACAGTGACCACTGAAGGGGCAGGGAGACGTGAGCAAGTGCATGTGGGTCCCTCCAGACTCCAAGTGCGGATGGGCTGTGTAGGGACAGCAGGTGTGGAGCGGTTACAGTGCTGGACTCCCGCGTGGCTGACTGAGACTCACCACTGCGTGCGCGCATGCCCAGAGGAGAACGCAGAAGGGTCTGCAGCGCGGCTCTCCACCCGGGGGTGATGTCTCACCTTCCCTCTCACTGTCTCTGTCTCTTTCTCCAGCAAGCACATGTGCCCTAAGGCAAAACCTCTTGGGGGAAAATAAAAAAACAACAACAAAACTGTAATACACTCCTTAAAGGTGAAGGGAAGTGGATGGTTTTCCACAATGTGGTGGGGACGGTCTTGGTCCCAATGTGACGATTCGCCTCAAAGGCACCGAAAGCAGACATTTGTCAGAGGAAGGTCATGCTCTCAGTGTGGCGGGATCTTAAAGGTGTTGTGTCTTTCGAGCTCCTACCGAAGAACCAAACGATCAACTTGAACATGTACTGTCGACACTTGGACAGTTAGAACGAACCCAGCCTCCGGAACGTCCAGACCTCGTTGGTCATAAAGGAGTTGTGTTCCACCATGACCGCGCGGGGCCGCACTCAGGTTTGATCACGCGTCAAAAACGCCTAGAGCTCGGAGGGGAGGTGTCGCCACGCCCACTCGTCGCCTGACCTGGCGCCATCACGCTTGCCCTGTCCGCTCTTCTGAACCCCGTGCGAGGGACGTTCCGTTCAGATGAGGCTGTACATCAGCACCTCGTTGGGCTCTTGGCTGTCAAAGACAGGTCCTTCTGTGGACGAGGAATTACGAAGCGCGGTGAAAGACGGCAGAAGGCTGTGGCACAGAACGGGCCATTGATCACTGACTGATCTTCAACGACTGATCGTCATAAACGATCTCGGAAAACAGAAAATACGCCATGACTTTCCCCACAGCCCAGTAGGTCCCCCAAATAGAAGAAAATGAGGATATTTTCCTGGGCTCTGGGCTCCTGCTCTGCCCCTTGGTGGTCCACAGGGGGCCTTCAGAGCCACACAGGCCCTCCTGCTGCCCTGGGAGGGTCAGAGATGCCGCAGGGTGGGCGAGGGGAGCATGTACTGGAGCGTGGTGGCGGGCGCCTCCCCGCGCTCTGGACGTGTGCAGTTGGGAGCAGGCCCAGCCTTCTCTGCCTCGGTCTGGGTGGGAGGCCTGACAGTGGCCCTCATGTGGCAGGGTGCGTTCAGGGAGCAAACGGGTGGGCGGGGCCACACGGAGGAGGCGCTGCCCTGGAGGAGCTGTGTAGACAGCAAGAAGCTGCTTGGTGTCCAGGCGAGAGCTGGCCAGCAACCGCCTCACTCAGGCTGGGCTGCAGAGGCTCGGGACGCCCAGCCAGCTGCAAGCCCCACTGGCTGCGTCCCCTCCCTGGGTCTCTCACTTTGCATTTCTGGGCAAGTCCCAGTACTTAGGTCACGAGTCAGGCATAAAATGGGGCTGGGGGCAGCTGGGGGACCGGTGGTTAAGGCAGCTGCTCCTACACGGCCCCCACATGTCCTGGACCCAGTGGCTTAAGAAGCATGCCAATGGAGGAGAAGGGATTAGGCTTGGCCATCCTCCCTGGGGGGTGATTTCTCACTTTGTGTTTCTTTGACTCTCTGTCTTTCTTGAGAACGCACGCGTCCTATAGCAAAAACCTCTTAAAAAAATGCTCAGCAATTGGCGTAATGGCTATGTTGCTGGACTCTCACATAGTTGACTGTGGTTCGAATCCCAGAACCAGTAGCTTAATCTGACGCCGGGCGCATGTACGTGTGTGCCCAAGATCCTGAGAGGAGAGTGGAGGAGAAGGGATTGCATAGTGGCCATCCCCTCTGGGGGGTGATTTCTTGCTTTCTGTCTCTGTGGCGAGTGACTTGCATCATAGCAAAAACCTTGCCAAAATTTAAAAGCATACCAAGTGCATTTGTGTGCCCAAGATCTGGGGCGTGTGACGTGGGGAAGGGGCTGGGGCGGCCCCATGGAGGGGCTTCCTCACTCACCCTCTCAATCCCCTCTCTCTGCAAGCACACATGCCTTCTAGCAAATTAACAAAAAAAGTCCTGGGGCAGGCCCAGACCCCTTCTGGAAAGTGTGTCAACTGGATCTGAAGCCGGCTCTGACATTCCTGGAGCTCGGGGCCCACACAGCACTCAGGTGGCCACTGACTCTGGGCCCCACGACTGGCTGCTGGGCGCGGGTCCCGCCTCTAGATGACACAGCCGGTACCACACAGCACGACCCGCGTGGGCTCCCGAGGGCACAGCCGGCACCACATAGCACGGCCCGAGCGGCCGCCCCAGGTCTGTGTGTGGGTCTCCATTGTCGCTGTCCTGCAGACAGGTATTGGAGGCCCAGGGCAGCCCGCCAGCCCAGGGCCCTAGCAGGTAAGCGGCAGAGCCGGGCTTGAACCCGTCCTGTCGGGCCCCTTGGCACCTGGCCACGGCCCCCAGACGTCCTTCCCACCCAGAGCCTCCCAGTGGCTCGTGCGCCTCGGCCGAGCTGCCTGCCCGAGTGGGCCTGTGGTGTTTTGCAGGGACGACACACCCCACGTGCCCGACGAGAGACTGGGTGAGGCCGCAGTGCTGGAGATCGTGGGCCGCGTGACCCGGCTCATCAGGGAGGTTTTTCCAGGTAAGACTTGGCTGTTGGGGCCTGCAGTGCCCCCGTCCCCCAGCAGGGCCTGGCACAGTGGGCCAGCGGCCAGGTGCCCAGTGGAGCCTCGCGTGTCGGCTGCTGCCAGCTGAGCCCATGCCAGGTGCCTCCTGGCCACCTGTGCGCTGTCTCCCACACGCCCTGGTGCAGGGAGGGCCGGAGCTCTCAGCTCCCGCCTGTGTCGCCCCGGCCTCGCAGCCCTCTCCAGGGTCCACGGCCGTCACGGCCCCATCGGGCGAGCCTCACTTGAGCCCATAGCAGCCTGTCCCTGCTCTGGCCCTGGTGCCAACACCCGCAGCTCACTGCCCGCAGACCATGCCGCTGGGGGCGCAGTTTCCAGCCAGGTGCTGCCTCAGAGAGCCATGGGGCAGGCAGGGATGGGGTGCATGTGGGCAGCAGCCCATGGACATGTCGGGGCTTGGGGTCCGTGTGCCCGGAGACCAGTCCTTGCCAGCATTTTTGAGCAGACTGCGTGTTCGAGCCTGGGCTGGATCAGCGCCCTTGGCCTCCTCGGGTTCTGGCCCAGCTGTTCTCTGTGGGTCTTAGTTGTGGCGATAAGGACAATAACAATAAATAACAGGGCTGGCCCTAGCAAAGGGGCTAAGGTCTGCACACACTGGGAGCCAGAGTCCACCTGGCCCACCAGGTTCAAATCCTGGCCCCAGAGGCTTGAGAAGCCTGCCACACAAAGGCGTGTCCCAGATCTCGACAGATGGAGGAGCAGAGGCGAGCGGGGTGCTTCTCCGTCTCTGCCTAGCACACGTGTCCTCTGGCAATTAAAAACGACTGCGACCAGGGTCGGCAGGTGGCATACTGGCTGTGTCACTGGCCTCCCACATGCGTGACCGTGGTTTGAGTCCCAGACCCTGTGGCTTGAAACTCATGCTGGCTGCGTGTTGTGTGTGCCCAAGATCTCAGGAGAGTGGAGGAGGAGGGATTGCAGGGTGGGCATCCCCCTGGGGGTGATTCCTCACTTTCTGTCTGTCCCTCTGAGGAGTGCATGCACCCTATAGCAAAAATCCTCTCAAAAATAAATAAACAGACAGAGTCAGGCCAGCCAGGAGGCGTGGTGGCGAAGGTGCTGGTCGCACAGCCAACTGTCCCGTTCCAAGTCCCAGACTTGGTAGCTTGAAGAACACGTAGGGTGCATGTGCGTGACCAATATCCTAGAGCAGGATGGGGGAGTGGAGAAGGGACTGCGGCGTTGACGCAGGAACGCGGGGTGCAGGGTGGCCAGGCCCGCACGCGCAGTGACACGAGCTCTGTCCCCCGCTCAGGAAGAGTCGGAGTTGTGGACACACAGTAGGTGTAGCCAAGGGGAGGGAGGGAGAACCAGCTCCCAAGAAGGGCGCGGCCCCAGAAAATGGGTTGCCAAGGAAGGACTGTGGGGAGGGGGTTTTCTCTGGGTCAGGAAGGGCTTCATCTGGACTTTGGTTCCAGATGGGCTTGCGCATGCCCTCCGGTCCTGGTGGGCCCAGCTACTGCCCTAATTCTGGAGTGGGTGCCGACACTGGGCCACGAAAACCCGTGTCTTATCTTCTTCCTGGGGTGCTGGAAAAAGCCCTCGTTCCAGGTCTAGGCCACACCGCCCAGGTCAGCCCGGAGCCACCACTGCCTCCCTCTCAAAGCCTGGCCATTTTGTGGTTCCATTCTGGGCCCGTACCCTACTGTATTTTTAGGGTCCCTGTTTGCTACCTCAGGGTGGCCACCCCCCCCCCCCCCCCTGAGCGGGTGCTT